AAGCCCTAAACTCCGAACCCTAAACCCTGTATCTCGAAACCCTAGACCCCAAACCCTGAAACTTCAAAACCCTAAACTAGGTAGGCCTTTGGGACCTTTTATATTTTCCCTTATTGGGCTTAGTAGGACCCTATTTACGAATATTTTTCAGAGGCTTTAAGGGGCCAACCTAGTAAACTGCAGGGCTATCCACCTCCGCCTGGGGAGCCGAATGCGCCCCTTCCGGCAAACTTCAAGTTCCCTGCAGGCGAGCGGTTTAGGGTTTTAGGCTTTTGGGGGTTCTGTTAAGGGTTGGGTTCAGGGTTTTAGGGTTTAGGATGGTTTCATGTAGGGCCTAAATAGTTACCAATACTATTCTCGGGGTTCCTTACTTTCAGTATAGTAGAATATACTATATACCCCAAAACCTTATTCCAATTATTAAGGCCCTTATAATAGCGGTTCCGAGTTCCCTTACGGGGTTCTACAAGGGCTCGCTTAAAGGGTCTTATAAGGCTTCCCCTAAAGGGGTTTAGGGGTTACCTGTATCCCCAAACCCTACAAAATAGCAGGCTATGACCCCTTAGTTATAGGGTCTGACCCTTAAAACGGTAGGTTTTTGGATCCCCAGGTAGAGTTTTCTGGCTCCGGGCTTTGGGCGTAGGGTGTCCGTAATCTAACCCTTAGGCTCTAAGGACTCATATTTTAAGGCTTTTGGCCCCAAAGACCATAGTATATAAGGCTTTTGGGCTATTTTGAGCCTCAATCTACTCCAACTTGGGAATCGTGCTTTCGGATCGCAGGGTTCTCAGGCTTTCCGGCACCCCCCAAGTACCCTTTAATAGAGCCCTTGTGGTCCCTAAAATGTCGCCATTTAGGGTATCATAGAGGGTAGTTGTGGGGGGGTGCTGGTAAACGCTAGACCCTAAACCCTATAGATCCCTCCTAGGTCCCCATAAAGGAACCCTATAGATCCCTTATAGATCCCGTTAAAGGAGCCCGATTCTTTAGGGCTTCTGTGGGATCTCAAAGCTGCTGTTCGGTGGGCTCTGAGGTCATAACCTACTGTATTTTGTAGATGGGAGTTTCCGAAAAAAAGGGGACCCTCATATGAGCCTCTAAATAGTAGGATCCCGAGTATTATGAGGACCCCCAAAAATAAGGTACCCCTAATTTTCGGAAACTCCCATAGAGGGTCTGAGGTGTTGGGGGCCTGTGGGTCGATGTCCAGCAGCAACTGGATCTCTTGCTTTCAGGGTATACCGGGGAACCAGGGGCGCCATACCACTATGGGCTATTAGACCTTAAGGGTACCTTAACCTACCCTTAATAGGGTCCTAATAGGGATCTTTAGGGTCTAATAGCCCATAGTGGTAGCTACACCAATTCAACATGTTTCAAGTTCCCCAAGAGTACGAATAGTTCGCACATAAGCATGCAAAGTCTGCAAAGAGTCCCGATTTTGGGCTGTTGAAATTGTCAGGTCAAGCTAGCTGGGTGTAGAAGCCGGAAACTCCTTTATATAAACAATAAACCCCCACGCCTAACCCCACAGGCCCACTTTCAATCCCTAGTGCCTGAAAATTCCTAAACCGTGAGCCCTGCAGCATTAAAGTACACACCTGCGCTCTGAACCCACATAAGCTTTGAACGTCTTTAACTTTAAACGAGAGCGAAGGCTGAAGTAGGGCGCAAGCATCAACGCTTTCAAACCCTTTAGAACGTCAAGCCTAGCGGTCGGGTAGGTAATCTTTAATGTTTTTCGGGGCACTTTCATCCCTACATAACATGTAGGGATCATATAAGATTTTTACTGAGTTGTCGGGTAAGTCAGGGTCTTTCTTGAGTCAACTCCTCAACCGTCAAACCTAAAAACCCTAAACCCCAAAAGCCCTCAACCCTAAAATCCTATCACCCTAAACTCTAAAACCCTAAAACCTAAAAGACCTATAGATCCCTTTAAAGGAGCCCTAAAAAAGCCTATAGATCCCTTTACAGGAGCTCTTACAGATGCCTTTAAATGGGAAGCCCTAAGCCGTGTTCAGGCTATCCTCCGCCCCGGCCCGAGGTCGGAAGCACCAAGAGCCTCCCCTTTAAGGGATCTATAATAAGGGCTCCTGTTTTAAGGTTTAGGGTTTACGGGTTCAGGGTCTAGGCTTTACTGGTTTAGGGTTTACGGGTTTAGGGTTTATAGGGTTTATAGGGGTTTAGGGTTTAGAGTTGAGGGTTGAGGGGTTTAGGGTTTAGGGGTTTAGGGTTTAGGGTTTAGGGGTTTAGGGTTTAGAGATTTAGGGCTTAGGGTTTAGAGGTTTAGGGGTTTAGGGTTTAAGGTTGTTCCTTTCAGGGTTCCGTTAAAGGGATCCCTGAAGGGGCCCTTTAAAGGGATCCTCAAGCGCTCCTTTAAGAGATCTATAGGGCTTAGGGCTTTGGATAGGGGCTTTTAATAATTACTTGTACTAGTGTGGGGGTTCCTTGAAGGGATACTATATGTAAGGGGTTCCAGAAGAGGTCTATAAGGGTTCTATAGTAGGTTTCTAACTACCTTCTCTTGGCGTCCTTCTGGTTGGCTCTTAGGACTTTGACTTTGTGGGTGTCTATGTGAAGTATAATCAGGAGGCTAAAAAGGTTGAACATTTAGGAGGGGTTCAGAAGTCAACCAAGAATAGATTCCTTAACTGGGCTTTGGAGCACCATGCTTTTATACTTGTTACTTTAAAGGAACCGTTATGTAACACAAGTTTGCACTTGTTTTTCTTATTTGTTAACTTTAAAAGGGATCTACAGGGGATCCAGAGGTTCAGGGTATCCAAAAACTGCAATATCCCTTGGTCAAATAAGGCATATACCTTGAATCAGAGTAGGATCCCTAATATGGTTTAAGGCATATTCTTTAAGTAAGGGATATGGGAAACTCTGGGTAGAGGAGTTGGATAGAGCTCGGAATAAATAGTAAATACGATTACCTGGGGTTCCAGAAGTTCTTCTGGTTTTAGCTTATCTTTTAATTTAAATCGGAATAGTTAGTAATACTATTCCTTAGGGTGCCTTTTAACCTTTTATGCTTCTATGTTAAAAGGCTCCGTAACCCATTCGAATGACCAAGGCCTCATGATTAGTGGTAACTAGTTATAGATTCGTGTTGACTATTTAAACAGGGTTTGTACGATCGTGATTTGTTGTTGTTTTCGGTGAAGGGTGTCTCGGGCAAACGGTCTAGAGATTTGGGATGGGTGCGTGGGGGTTGAAAGCTATGTCTGTGGCCGAATCATTGCTGCTGCCGCAACTGCACTTGCTCCCGCTGCTACTGCTACTGCTACTGCTGCTGCTACCGTCGCCTCCAGTACTACAGGGATTCGGGTTTACGGTTACTACATACATGTATGTCTGCAGCCGCGATGGTGACGACCCCGGCTACGGCGACGGCAACTGCCATCCTGCTCTGGTTTACCCCAAAGGACACACACACACACGATATATATATATATATATATATATGAGGCAGGAACCTTTACGTATAATGTGATTGATTCGGTCGGTTATACAGTGTGAACACTCAGCCCGGTGTAACATACAATGCACATCCCTCTGTACTCTTACCTGCATCATGAATGCACCTGGGTTGTACTCCAATGCTCGGCTTGCACCCTCTTTGCGACAGATCAGATACAAGCATTGGTATCATCAGGACTTCAAAAGAAGGCATGAAGTGACAAACCCCACAAAAGGGTTGATGGCTGACAAACCACATATAAACATCCTGTAAGAAGCTGTGGAATGGCAAACCGTCAAAGGAGATGATGGCTACAGTCCCAGAAGGTCTGATGTGGCCCACCCTGCAAGCTGATTTGTCGGCGAGCCGACATACGTCGACATCATGCTCAGTAGATCAGATACAAGCAGTGGTATCATCAGGACTTCAAAAGAAGGCATAAAGTGACAAACCCCACAATAGGGTTGATGGCTGACAAACCACATATAAAAATCCTGCAAGAAGCTGTCGAATGGCAAACCGTCAAAGGAGATGATGGCTACAGTCCCAGAAGGTCTGATGTGGCCCACCCTGCAAGCTGATTTGTCGGCGAGCCGACATACGTATCACGTCGCCCTCCCTTATGGCCACCTCAACAGCCACAGTTGACATTGGGCAGCATCACGATCCCGGCTAACATCTTGGCTCTCCCAACAACTGGCAATGTAACGTGCATCCACCCCGGCCAACAGTCCCAGGCCGGGCTGTTGCGTCGGCCATTTTCCAGTCTCCAAATAAGCTGTGATCCCAAGAAGGCCACCAACACTGCTATGCTGACAACATGCGCCTCCCGATGATGATCGTCGTACACCGGCATGCGTAGCAAAGGCGGCACAAAATCCGATATGGCAGTATCAAATGCCGGAAACAACTTTTCAATCTCAGACACAGCATGCCCTACCAACCGAGCATGTCACACGAACAACTTTCTTTCTGTGAGCGCACTCAGGATGCCAGCGTCACCGTCACCTACGGACCCCTTGTGTGCGCAGCTTCGATCTTCGAGCTGCAGTGAAAATGGTCCGCTTCTCCGCTTCTGCTTCTGCCTTTTTGATGCGGAGGGCCGCTTGAGAGCCCACGTGCGCACTTTACGCACTTCTGCGGCACGTTCGTGATTAAACGATAAGCATGCCTTCTGTACCTTCTCAGATTCCAGGCATGACGAGCACCACCACTGCCATTCTTCTTGAGACCACACTGACTTAGCAGTGAGCCTTGCGAGCAGAAGTCTGCTGTTCGTTTGGCTGATGGTTGATGCTTGCAATGCAAGCGCATGAGGCAGAGCTTTGCTCAATGTCAATATCAGCAGCTTCAAGCGCAGAGTGCTCTTATGAATCTGCTGAGTTTGCAAGAACCATGACTTAATTTCGGCATGCAAGGCTTCATTGGATGAAGTGCCGGCCGGAAGGAACGTCAAGGCTGTTCGACCTGTTGACGCAGCACTAGAACTAGTACGAAGGTGGACACATACTCATGCCAACGTTACCTTAAGCTAACTAAGGCCGTGACTCAGCGTGTGCCTGAACCGCTGGTTGTTGAAGTACCATTCAGCACGATCAGGATCAGCAGCACACCAGAGTATGTGGGAGATGCATTGATTGGCTCCAGTTACCTTGCGTCCCATGTCCTCGTTGAAAACCGCAGCCAGTGCAGCCAACGCTTCAATAAACTCCAGTCTGCAAAGAAAGGGTTTCGAGCTGTCCATCTCCGCTACAAGTTCAAGTTTACGAGTTTTGCCTTTGGCAAAAGCACCGGTTTCAATGTAGGTTCTGCGCGTCTGTTCCTGCTGGCTAAGTTGACGGCTATCGTAGCCTCTGTAGAAATGACCCCAGTGCTGAGAAGGAAGACTTGCATCCACCATGTTGAACTTGTGCATGATTTTGCGGACGAACACAGCGCCTGGCGTTTTTTCCGCCATGTCGCATACCTGAGCACATGTGATGGTCTACCCAAGCTTGCAAGCTTGACTGTGACATCTCCTACAAAGTCGAGGCTAGCTGCTCGTAAACGATGCAGAGGTGGATAGGATCAAGCGCCAGACACTGTAGGTTGGGCATAATGCACTTCAACTCGGCATAGAGCTTGGTTGAGGCACAATCCGATGACAGGAACTGCACTTGACCAAGCCCATCCGCCGGAAGCATTTCCGACAGGGCCATACAGACATCTTCAGCCTTTTCTGATGCCATCGCACACATGCCAAGCACGGCACTTGTACGCCCTCTGACCGTAAGAACCCGCCTGAACGCATGGTCGTCGTCGAACGGGGCCTGATCTCTTTTTGCTTTAGGTGCACGGTAGGATTCTTGCCCAAGAACTCCCATGCAACATTTTATGGTTGCATCGATAGAGATAACTTGAAACTCCCTCAGGTCGCGGAAGGTGGTCAGCAGCTTGACAGTCAGAGAAGCGACTGCTGGCGATGTAAAGACGTCTTCGATGATTGGCCACCCGTGCCGGACATCCGTAAGCAACAAAGAGGCCAACTGTGACCCTGACGGACGCCCATGTAGATGCCCGAAACTCGACGTGGCAGCCATAAACCGAAAGCAGCGTGACCCAACAAGGGATTGTCCGACAGAAAGCCGACCACCCGGTTGCCCGTTGCCCGATGCCGAACCACAGCATTCACACGCCAGACTATGCAAGCATTTGCAGGCACACTTTGGAACATGACCAACTGTTTCGTCGCGATGGTCAGACTGCGAGCTGCAGCACAGACAGGTTGCAATTGTCGCAGTACCTGCTCGTCGTGGAACTCTTCACTGTCCATCGGAATGCAACAGTTTCTGCAATGCTCCAGCCTTCGCATGGATCTGAACACATGAGAGCATGTGCAGGCGAGCGCCTGAAGATATGGAAGAGAAAAGAAAAAGGCTGGAAGCTGATTCAACACGTCTTGTGGCAGGGATCCCCCGGGAAGATCTGCGGATGTTGAAGTCCCACCGGCAGCTGTTATGTCCACGTTGCTCCAGCGGCGCCGATCCCGAGCATCACAGCATCGAGGACAATACACCACGAGAAAGGCGACCATGGCACCGAGCCAGTCGCGCAACGAAGGGTCATCCACAGAGGGGTGTGGGATAAGACCTTCCATTCTTCTCTGTAGATCTGGGTTACTCCTCAGCATGGAGTGGACGAACATATAGATGATATAGTTTTTCTGTTGATATTTCTCCGCAAGGAGTTTGAGCAGCGTCCTGGCGGTGCACATCGTCTTTTCCCAGCATCTCTTCGACGCAGCCTCGAAGTCCCGTTCATTAGGCAGCAGAGCCACGGCCTGTGGGTAGCACTCGAAGAAAGCGGTGAAGGAATGAAACACGCCTGACCTGAGCCGCTGTCGTTTTGCGCTTCTTCGATCTGCCCCACATTTGCAATCGCGCCATGCAGCCATCATCGCATCGGTCACTTGCGCCAATCTTGGCACAACGCGCACGAACGGCGAGTCGCCATGTTCCGGGTGACAACACACAACGAACATTTCGGACACCCTCGCGTCGTAGTACTTCTCCAGAATGTAGCGATAAGCATTCAGTTGGGGATCATAGTGCACTGCTTTTATGTCCTGCAAATCCTGCAACGGTGGCAGCATCTTGCGTGCGCGATGGGCTGACGTGTCTGCACCCAAGCCTGATGTTCGTTTCCAGCCGACCAACGAGAAAGTGCCATCGCTGTCTCTCGCAACAAAATCGATGGATCCAGCCAAATCCTCGTCTTCGCCAAAGATGACCCACTCGGTACGCCATGCAACGCAGGTAGTTGGCATGCTCGCGAGAAATTTGCAAATCATTTGCAATTCAGGTGAGTCTGGCACGCTGTGACCGTTGAGATAAGCTTCGAAGATGTAGTGCATGTACGTGCCATATAGTGAGCAGCTTCGGCGCCACGGGCCTTCCAAACTTCTTTGATGGTCTGTGCACTCAACGTCAATGCGCTTATCTCAACCTCAATGTCGAAATGCAGGCGGAGCCGTTGTAGGACTTCGCAAATGCGGACATCATCTCTGGGTCGACCTGCAAGCATATGGAGAAGCTCAGGGGCCAAGAGCTGCAACTTGTGAATGCTGCCAAAGGTGATGTCCTCCTTTAGATAGCCGGCCCGAGGCCACCGATGGCCAGCGCACATGGCTGCAATGACAGCGTCGGCGTCGAAGTGGTGGCCGAAAGTGTGGATCATGCTCGTGACGGAGCCCTGTGTTTTTTGACTGTCGATGAAACACATGTGCTCCTGTTGGAAAAACTGCACCCGCAAATCTCGTGGGTGAGGGTGCAGGTACTTTAGGGCATCAACTTCTGTTGCAGTCAAAGCCACAAACTCTTCCGGGGTCAACGGAATCTTGATCTGAGGACTGTGCAGAAGCTTCGGGAAGAAGCCATCCATGACTGCCATCCGTCTTCCTTTGGTCTTGTAAGCATCGAACTTGGACTCCAAGCAGCGCAGTCTCTGGGCAGTCGTCATGGGATTCGTCTCTGGCATGGATCGCTTCTTGCTCGTTAGGCGAAGCGCCAGAGAACCTCCGAGAGCATCACTGCTGCCTGCAGACTCTCTGGAGTTCAACTGCGCCAATGTCAGGGATGAAACAGTTCGAGCCCTGGCACGTTCGTACCAATCTGGTCGGAGATCCCAAAATCCCTCATCCTCACAGTCGCTCGCATCTTCAACCGCAAAGCTGGACACTCTTCGTAGGCTCAGTATGTCATGATGCCGCGGAACCGGTGCATGGATGGAGGACTCACCGGCGCTGCTTCCATCCTGATCAAGGTCATATGAGAAATCTCCACCTGCCGACGAACTTCGCGATCGGGAGCCATTGTCATTGTGCAACGGGAACTGCACATTCATGTAGGAATCCTGAGCTGAAACTGGAAAGTGATCAAGAATGTCCGCAATTTCCTCCATGGCCGAAGTTTCGGCTTGTTTGCCTCCGGACCACAGAAGTATGAAGATCAGCAGGTACGACTTGAAAGAACCCATCGCACAAGGACATGTCCAGACACCACAAGTTCAAGATGTGGTCATACTCGAAAGCTCTGCTGATAGTGGACCGCAGTGCCAGAGGTACCCAATTGTGAGTGCGGTTCCCGAAGTTGACCTGCAGCCCATCATCGACGGTTCGGCGGACAGCAACGAAATGTTCGTCAAACCGTCAAAATGTCAGAGCTGCATGGAACGATGTTTCGCCTTGGTCGGAAAAGGCAAAGACTGGGACTGTGTTTACCAAGCAAATGTCCTCAAACGAAGCTAGCACTCGGATCCCAGCTGGAAGCTGTCAAGCATTCTTCGGCCATCCTATCGCTGTCGCATCGACACAAAATCTGAGACAAAGGTGTGTGTATGTCGGCACACTGGAAGAGAAGACTCATAGTCCTTCAGAGCGTAGAAGGGCCCGTGCTGCTGGTAAGGGACCTTCATGCCCAGGGCCCGGAAAGTATCCACCAAGCAATTTGTCTCGAAAACGATCGTGACCTCACCAGCAATCAGGCATCAAGACGCAGACCTGACACGGCTCTGACCATAGATTGCAGTGAAGCCACGCTCTGGCGGTTGCTGCATCATGATTGCCCCCAGCTGCAGTTGGCTCCTGCGGCGTGAAAGAGGTCACACAAGCTGTACTGTCTATGGGATAGTGAGTTCAATGAGTTCTATAGCCCTAGCCTGGTCAGCTTATTTCGCGATCGCATCTTCACTGGCCCGCACTTGCGTGCAGCGCCTGTCAATCAGAACCGGTACAAAGCTCAAACAAGACTCATGTCGCATGCCCAGCTGTTAAGAAAAGCAGCAAGGATACTTACCAGCGAACGCAGCTAAGATAACCGCACCTCGTGATGCCATTTTCTGATCTGCAAGAAACTGTGGCCATATCGAACAGCGAAACTTCTCGCTCTGATTTCGCCATCGCATCTTCTCCACCAGCGTCTTCATGAAGCCGTCGCCTGAGCATCGTTCACGCAGATACGGCTGCTATAGCCATCAGCAGGCAGGCACGACGCTTGCAGAGATCTGGTGTATATGAAAGCCAGGTAGCTCCATGGGGCAGTTTTCTGCCGACGACCACAATACTTCTTGCCGAAGTGAACGTGTTCCCCTCGACTCGAGACACTGAAGATTCTGGAAGGGAAGAAGGCTGCAACGCAGACGCGAGCAGAGAAATCGGAGCATCACATTGCATCTCTTCTGTCTACACAGCTGGCTGGGAGTCTGAGTACCCAGCAGACATGCTCGCCTGGATAGTCACACCCTGTCTGCCACTGCCTCGCAAGCCACGGGCGCCGGAACTGAAACTGCACTGTGCCTGAAGTCCTGGTTACCTGGCAGCTGCAATCTTGTACTGGATGGACAAAACTGCTTTGGCAAGCTGCCTCCTTAGTGCATTTCTGCAGGGCTGCTATCGCATTAGCAGCACAGACGTAATGAGCCTCTCCTTCTCACTCTCTATACGGCCTCTCTCTCTGCTCGCCAGCGATGCATCTCTGCAGTGGTCACACCTTGCGCTGCCAGGAAACGGCGTCGTCTCGTTGCACGTTTTCTGCCTGGTGCAGCTGCTCAGCAACTGTGTAGCTTAAGATGCTCAAAGCGGTGTGTCCAACCGCAGTGGTTCACAGGGGCTTGGGCGACGACGTCTTCGGCAGCAAGACTTCGCCGGATGCAGCGTCGACCCTCGGAACTTGATATATGTATGGAGTAGAACTTACCTGCGACGCGTTGTGCCGGGAGGCATTTCAAAAACCGTTTTCGCCTTGAGGTTCTCGACCATGTCTGGCCTCGCACTGCTCCCGCACAGGATAGAGTTGTCACTTGCAACTGAGTTTGCCAAGGCGGAGGCGTGTCCTTAACCCAATGTCCATCCCCATCGAGGCGCCCTTGTAAGCTGCATGCCCATGAACTGGCATGGCTAGACAGTCGAGTGAAACATATCTGTTTCAGCAGAGCAGCAGGACCACTTTCGCGGCTGGGCCACAGGACATCCAAGGTCAGTAGTCCCTGCAGCCGCTAGGGCTGCTAGGGCAGACTCGCAGCTTAGATTGCAGTCAGCCGGGTATGCTTAAAACTCAGGCGTAAGCTCAAGGTACTGGCAGGCGACTGAAGACCAGAGACAAACCTGAGCAGGATCCAAGCGCATGAGCGAGAAATGAAAGTCCTCGATAAAAGCTGGCAGTAGATGGCGATTCGATGCGACATCTATTCTGGG